AGACCACACCCCAACAGTGCTGGGGAGGGCGACCCCGACACACAGAGACCACACCCCAACAGTGCTGGGCAGGTGACCTCCGGCCACCAGCCCCCATCCTGGGGACCACAAACACCCCTACTCAGTGCCCCCTTCCCTGACTACCCCTCCGCGCCTGCATTTCCCCCTCCCTCACCCATCTTGGGGCAGAGGGGCCGGGCCCCACTTGTCTGGGACACCTGCCCACAAGGCTGGCCACAGGAGGCCACAGAAGTAGGAGTGGCTGTGTGGGGAGACAGGAAGTCTGGGCTCCAGGTCACAAGGTCGCTGGCCTGGCTAGTGTGGGGCCCTGGGGACTCTGGTGGGGACAGTAGCACAGGAGGGTCCTGGACGTGTCCACAGGAGCCCACGATGTGCCCTTGGGGGTCATGGGGTCTCCTGGGGTCGTGGGCAGGCCTGGTGCCAGTGCTGTGGCCCACCCCAGGCCCCCATCATGCACAGCGGCTGTCCCTGTCCCCAGCGCCCTTTGCCCTTTCTCGTGAGAGCGGGAGCCGAGCCCAGGCCCTGGGGCAGTGGAGTTGTCGTGGTCAGGGGGCCTCGGGGCTGTGATCCCTGCTTGGGTGCGTGCACTCCTGACGTGGCTGGGGGCCTTCTCGGGGGCCGCAGGGCACTGGCCGGCCAGCAGCACCGCCCGTGGCTGCCGCTGACCAGGACAACTGTACTCTCACCCTGGGGTTTCCCCAGCAGCGTCTGTGTGGCCAGGGGCCTGTCCAGGAAAGTCCCAGACCACAAGTGAACCAGGAAACGAGCCCCAGGCTGCGGCCAGGCTGGGCCCACCTGCAGGCCCGCCCCACTCCCAAGCCCTGGGCCAGCCGCTCTGACCTGGCCACCAGCTCCTCTGTGGGCACCGAGACGCGGGGGAGATGCCCCGGGGGGAGCTGACCCCTGCTGCAAGGGGGAGAGACCGGACGGGCCTCAGCAGCGGGGACAGCCCCTCGGCGGCCACGGCAGGCAGTGGCGGGGTGGTCTGTGACTATGGGGGTGTGCGTGGCCAAGGGTAGTGGTCGGGGCCGGGGGCCGGGGCTGCGGCTGCGGGCCCTGTGTTCCCAGTCTCCAATAAAGGGAGGGGTGACGGCGACCTCAAAACCCAGCAACCACGCAGGTTCCAGGAGGGTGTGCCGGCCACAGCCCAGGAGGCCCCCAGGCGCGCCGTCTGCACTGTGCTCCCTGGGAATGGCAGTCCGCGGTGTCGTCTTGGGGGAGTGCACCAGGCGGGGGTGCCCTTGGTGCTGGCCCCGTGGACCGCAGTGGTGCACACCTGCCCCTCACCCCACAGGGACCTCGCCTCCTCTGGCCATGGTGCTCAATGGCCCACTGCCCCCCGACAAGGCCGTGCCAGTGTGGACCCCCTACCAGCCCCCCAGTCCACGGGCCCCCCAGGAAGGGAGCAGCTGGGAGGAGAGAGCCCGGCCAGCAGTCCTGCCCAGAAACAGAGGCGGCCGCTGCTCGGGCTGCCCCGCCGCAGGCCGCGGGTGCTGACGGGCGGCTAGGAGGGGCGGGTAGGCCCCGCTCTGACCCCACAGGCTGGGCCGTCACACGAGGCAGACACTGGACAGCTCCAGGCAGGTGGTGGTGGCAGGCAGGGGATGGCCAATGTGCCTGTCAGTCACGCTCCGGGGCCACGTGGCCAGCCCAGAAGGGGCTCCGAGGGACACTCACTGATGACTTGACCTGCCTGGCTCCGCCCCACAACTGCCCGCAGCACGTGTTATGGAGGGGGCGGGGGAAGGGAGGGCGTTCTGGCCCCAGGAGACCACTGCCCAGGTCACTGGAGGTGCTGCCCTGTGGGGCCGGGCACCCGGGGGCGGAGATTCCACCCACTCTAGCCCCATGGGAGCCCCTCAGAGGCCGGCTGCCCGGTCACCCCAGGGCCCGAGGACAGGGGCTGTCCAGTGGCGAGGCAGGCACCGGGGCATGGCCATGGGGGCTCCCCTGCTGGGAAGCCACACAGCCCCTAGGAGACCCTGCTAGGAGATCCTAGCAGCCCAGGCCCCGGGCTCTGACCCTGGGTAGTGACACGCGGGCCTCAGAGGCAGCCGTGGGGCGGCGAGTGCGCGCGCTGCAGCCCTGACTCCCTCTCGGAACCTGGAAGTTCCAGAACCCACGTTCAAAGGCGCCTGCAGAAGTGTCAGGGGTCAGCGGTCAAGGAGGGAGGGGCATGGACAGCAGCTCCTGGGAGCCCCGAGGGGAAGGTTCCAGCAAGTGTTCCGGCAGCAATAAAAGGCCTTGATTTCGCAACCCAGCCCTGCAGCCTTGTCCAAGGTCAATACCCCAGGCACAGAAGATCCTCCCCTGACGTCAGAGGCCAGGCCAGCTGCCTATGGGTTGTCCCCACCTCCCCAGGCAGCCAGCTCCAGACCCTGGGCCTCCTGGAGTGAGGCTGGGCATGGAGGACTCTCCACCTGCCCCTGCCCCTGCGCCACCACAGCAGCCTGTGCGGCAGCGGACAGACTCCCGCCGGCCCGGCCTCCTGTCCTCACGCCGACCCACTTAGCCCTGGGACCACCTGGACGGAAGCGCTGACGCGTCCATGGCCTCGGCTGCATCTGCCATGGGGAGCCAGGCTCCAGCCGGCGTCTCCCAGTGCGGGTGGCCAGCACTGCCCCAGGAGCTCCGAGCCCAGGGGAGCCAGGCTCCAGCCGGCGTCTCCCAGTGCGGGTGGCCAGCACTGCCCCAGGAGCTCCGAGCCCAGAGGCTGGCCTGGGCAGTGTAAGTGTCAGGTCCACAGGGGGTCCCCGGGAGCTGCATTTTTGTCCCGACAATGTCTAGGCCCACCCTGCCCACACCCCGGGCAGTCTCAGCAGGGTACAGGGTGCGGCTTCCCCAGCAATCAGCAGGGGTCTGGGCCTCTGGTTAGGGCGCACCCGGCTCCCATCGGCCAGCAGCTGTCAGAGCAGGGACAGGAGGGCTGGCTCCTGTGGCCCTCCAGGCCTGGTGTCACCGCGGCCGTTGGTCTCCTGGGCGCATGGCCGCACTGTCCAGGCTCTGCCGATGTGACATAGATGTGCTGGTGGGGCCAGGGGCAGGGGAGGTGGCCAGGCAGGCGTCCGGGAGCTGGGCCACAGCACGTGACCATCCCCCACCCCACCCCACCCCTGTGCTCCTCCCTCCCTTGGCTGAGCTGGCCTGGGACCTGCAGGAAGCACCCCTGCTTCCCAGACACGTCGGAGCAGGGGCGCCACCTGAGCGCCCCCACCCGGGGCGCCCGCGCGCGCAGCAGGGACTCTGGTGTGACCAAGCGGCCTGCAGCGGCTTCGTGTGCCCCATGCGGGGGCACCACAGCAGCCTCCCCCTTCCCAGGGAGGAAAGCCAGAGCCCGCAGTGGGAGGGGCCGCGCCAGGGCTGGCTCTGGGCTTGGTGTGGCTGTGGTGGGCTCCTGCCCGGGGTTCTGGCACTCAGGGGGCGGGGGTGGCCTCGCCCTCCGCCTTCCCTGGCGCTGCTGCTCCCGGCGCCGTGGTGGGGTCTGGGGGTGGGGGACTGAGGTCGCTGTGGCTCCTCTGTGCCTTCCTCTCTCTCTCTCGGGGTCCTCGATAAGGCCATCTGGCTGGAAATCCCCCGAAAAGGCCAACTTCCTCTCCAGAGAGCACGGCGGCCACAGCGTCCCTGTCACCTGCTCCTCTGGGCAGTGGCCCTGCCCCTCCCACAGAAACCGCCTGGCCAGGTGAGGGCTGGGGCCCAGGGACAGGGGTCCCTGTGTTCCACATTCCCTCTGAGAGCACCCCGATAAAGCTGTGCCTCCCGCGACGACAGCCCGGCCCCCGCCATGGGCACTGTGGCTTCCAGCAGCCAATGCCGCAGCCCCTCCTGGGCCGAGAGCTGCTCCCAGGGGCCGTGGCCCCTGTGTCCCCAGAACCGTGGCTGACATGGCTGCCCGGGCCAGCACGGCACAGCCCTGGGTCAGGGCAGCTGCTCCACTCCCCCGAGAGACGAGACGGGGCAGGCCCGGCGCACGGTGGGATGTAGAACCTCGGGACTTCTGCCCCATCGTCTGCGCTAACAGTGGTCCAGACAGCACTCCCCGCTCCTGCCTGGGCACGGAGCTCACCTCAGCGGCTGCAGGACAGCCAGCCCGGCAGCCACGGCTCGCGTGAGGCCCAAGGACCGAGACGGGCAGGAAGGGCTGGGGGTGGGTCCTGGGGCTCCCCTCGGGACTGCTCACGCCGGGGACGGCAGTGCCAACAGGAAGTACCTGGACCCACGCCCGGGCGAGCAGAGCCTCCACGGCGCTGCCCACACCAGCTCACGGGCACTGCCAGGCAGGACGGAGCAGCCGGCCAGGGCCTGGCACCCACAGCCCCTCCGGGGGGACGGTGGGCAGCGGTGGGCACCGGGGGTGGCTCATGGGCTTCCGGCTTCGGGTACGCTGGAAGGAGTGAGTGATCAACACTTCTGCTACCCCTCGGCCCAACCCAGGAAGTGCAGGCACGCATGAAAACAAGGACGTGGCAGTCGCGAGTGGCCAGACGGCTACCGGGCAGCAATTCCACAGTTCCTGCCGAGCCGGGGCTCGGCCCCCTCCCACCCTGGCAGGACCGCCCAATTCTACGGGGCTGCGTGGGGGCTGGGTCCAAACCTCAGCGGCAAGTGCCCCCGGGAAACATCGGGAGCGGCTTCAGATTGGAGCTCCGGGGAGCTGCCGGCCGGGCAAGCACCGTCCCGGCAGGACACCGGAGCCCTGCTGCCAGCTGCCCTGGGAAGCCGAGCTGAGCACGGGGGTCACCGCACCCCTGCGGGGCCCCCCGAGGAGAGGCCGAGACCCAGGCTTGGTGGGTGTGAGGCAGGGCAGCGCCACGCAGGTTCCAAGTCAAGGAATTCCTCCACGCACGCGCACACTCCTGCTCACATCTCCACGCACGCACATGTGTGTGCCCCCTGTATACACACACTCCTCACATCCCCACGCATGCCTGCACACGTGTGTGCCCACCTCTATACACACACTCCTCACATCACGCATGCCTGCACACGTGTGTGCCCACCTCTGTACACACACTCCTCACATCTCCACACATGCCTGCACACGTGTGTCCACCTCTGTACACACACACTCCTCACATCTCCATGCACACCCGCACACGTGTGTGCCCACCTCTGTACACACACACTCCTCACATCTCCAGACACCTGCACACGTGTGTGCCCACCTCTGTACACACACACACTCCTCACATCTCCACACACGCCAGCACACACATGTACCCACCTCTGTACACACGCACTCCTTACATCTCCATGCACACCTGCACACGTGTGTGCCCACCTCTGTACACACACTCCTCACATCTCCAGACACCTGCACATGTGTGTACCCACCTCTGTACACACACACTCCTCACATCTCCAGACACCTGCACACGTGTGTGCCCACCTCTGTACACACACTCCTCACATCTCCAGACACCTGCACACGTGTGTGCCCACCTCTGTACACACACTCCTCACATCTCCAGACACCTGCACACGTGTGTGCCCACCTCTGTACACACACTCCTCACATCTCCACACATGCCTGCACACGTGTGTGCCCACCTCTGTACACACACTCCTCACATCTCCAGACACCTGCATACGTGTGTGCCCACCCCTGTACACACACTCCTCACATCTCCACAGACACCTGCACACGTGTGTGCCCACCTCTGTACACACGCCTGCACATGCGCATGCCCACCTCTGCACACACTCATGCTCACATCTCCATGCACGCCTGCACACGTGTGTTCCCACCTCTGCACACACTGCTGCTCACATCTTCACGCACACCTGCACACGCGTGTGCCCACCCCTGTACACACACACACACACACACTCCTGCTCACGCCTCTGTGCACACCCGCATCCTGCTGCATGTTCCCAGGTCTGCCAGGAACTGCACAGCCAGGCAGACGGCGCGGCAGGGGCAGCAAGTCGGGGAGCCACTCTCAGCCACAGCGCCTCCCAGAGGCCACGCCGAGGGCGACAGGAGCTGAAGCCCAGCCAGAGACCCAGCCCAGGGCTCCGTGTCCAGCAAGGAGAAGCAAAGACCTTCTCAGACAAATGGAAATCGGAGAATGTGCTGGCCGTCCACGTGCCTTGGGACACATGAGCCGCTGCCACCTCCACGCCGGCACCCGTGTTGGAGCCGTGGTTGATCCAGTTTCTTGCTGATGGCCCCTACGCCCATGGTGGGAGACCCCGATGCAGCTCCAGGCTGCTGGCTTCAGCCTGGCTCAGCCCTGGCTGTTGCGGCCATCTGGGGAGTGAAGCAGCGGGCAGAAAATCTCTCTCTCTCTCTCTCTCTCTCTCTCTGCCTTTCACATTAAAACAAGTGACCTTTTCCGAGAACAGGAAAATCACAGGTCAGAAACTAAGATCTACACAAAAGCAGCCTCCGAGGAGGAACGGGCGCAGGCGAAGAAACACTTGCACCACCCTCATTCTCGACATCCAGGCATTTGCCAGTGCCGCCAGCGCGTGTGCACGCATCCTGCAGGCACCAGACGACACGCCCACTTCCCCTGGGGTGCCTGGGTCCGAGTCCCGGCTCTGCCCGAGCGAGTTGCTGCCAGCTCCCGCTCTCCACGGGGGAGCCTTGGTTTGACCTCTTGGCTCCTGGCTTCAGCCCCGGCCCGTCCTGGCCACTGCGGGCGTCTGAGGAATGGACAGTGGAAGGAAGGACTCTGTCTCTGCCTCTTAAATACAACCTCGGGCCAGCGCTATGGCGCAGCGGGTCAAAGCCCTGGCATCCCATATCGGCGCCGGTTCTAGTCCCAGCTGCTCCACTTCCAATCCAGCTCCCTGCTGTGGCCTGGGAAAGCAGTAGAAGATGCCCAAGTGCTTGGGCCCCTGCACCCGCGTGGGAGACCTGGAAGAAGCTCCTGGCTCCTGGCTTCGGATCGGCCCAGCTCCGGCCATTGCGGCCATCTGGGGAGGGAACCAGCGGGTGGAAGACCTCTCTCTCTCTCTCTCTCTCTCTCTCTCTCTCTAACTCTTTCAAATAAATAAATCTTTTTAAAAATTAAAAAAAAAATACAACCTGAGCAGAGCAATGTAACTGAGAGGCTGAGAAACGAGAGAAATGGAACAAAATGCTCCTTACAGCCACACAGGCAGACAAGGGTAAGAAACAACCAGGGAGGCGAGACAGTCTACACAGGGGGAGGCAGTCTACACAGGGAGACAGTCTACACAGGGGAGACAGTCTACACAGGGAGACAGTCTACTCGGGGGGAGGCAGTCTACACAGAGGGAGGCAGTCTACACAGGGAGAGACAGTCTACTCGGGGGGAGGCAGTCTACACAGGGAAGACAGTCTACACAGGGAGACAGTCTACACAGGAGACAGTCTACACAGGGGAGACAGTCTACACAGGGAAGACAGTCTGCACAGGAGACAGTCTACACAGGGGAGACAGTCTACACAGGAGACAGTCTACACAGGGGAGACAGTCTACACAGAGGGAGGCAGTCTACCCAGGGAGAGACAGTCTACACAGGGGGAGGGGGAGGCAGTCTACACAGGGGAGACGGTTTATACAGGGGGAGGCAGTCTACACAGGGGGAGGCAGTCTACACAGGGGAGACAGTCTACACAATGTGACTGTGTGTGAATGTGTGTGCTGTGTCCTGTGTGCTGTGTGTGTACTGTGTGTGACTCTTGTATGTGTGCATGCACACTGTGTGTTGTGGGTGTGCCATGTGCTGTATGTGAATGTGTGTGCTATGTGTGTACATGTGCACACGGTGTGTGTGCTGTGTGTGTGCGCTGGATGAGCCAGGTGGGCTGGACACTGGGCTGAAGGGGCCTCGGGGGTATGCTGGGGTCTGGCTTGGACCTGTGGTCGGATGTGGCCAGGTAGGTGGCAGCCCGAGGGTGAGGTCTGGGGTGCCCGGGAGAGTGGCTGCAGAGGGAAGAGGCGGTAGGACACAGGTGCCTGCCCCACCCTCAGCAGACCCCCCGGGAACAGCGGCTCCACCGTCCAGGAGAAGGCTGGGTGGAGGCTGCGAGCGAGGGGTCAGAGAGGAGGGAGGGGGCCGGGACCAGCGGGAGCCTGGGGTCCAGGACAGGCGGTGTGAGGGGCCTGACAGGGCCGAGGCTTCCTGCAGACCAGCCCAGAACCTGCGGGCAGAGGAGCAGGCGGCTGGGGACACACACCCACCCTGGCTGGCCCTCGGAGCCTGCGGGCGCTTTGACGGATCCACCACGCCCCCTGGTGGTGGAGCTTCAACTCAGGCTTTGCTGGTGTAACCCTGCAGGGGGCCCAGCCTCTGCGGTGGTCACCTCCCACCCACACCCCGTGCTGTCCTCAAACTCCCAGGCTGACCCTTCCCTGCCCTCCCTCCCTCCTTCCCAGCTGTCCACACGGCCCCCTGCCCAGCAGGCTGCAGGGCCCACGGGGCTGTGTGCTGGCTGCTCCACCTGTGTTTGGTGAGGGGCACCGGGGCAGTGCTGGCCGGCAGCGGGCACTGGCTCACGCCTGGCAGGCCAGTGGTCCAGGCCCCCCAGCGCTGCAGATCCACCCCAGAGCAGAGCTCAGGGCCGCCCCCCGCGACGGCCTGCGCAGCCAGAGCCTCTGGGCCACGGGGGCTGCTGGCACCAGGAAACACCAGCACTGCCACTCGACCCGCCCCGCGGGAGCCTGGGAGGGAAGCACAGCCCCAGTTCACGTGGACAGTCGAGGCCACAGGACACAGGCCTGCCTGCGGGGCCGTGCGAACACTTCTCGGGGCTTTCTCAGCCGTTCTCACTTCCCTCCCGCAGTACCTGCCCTGAGGCTCACGGGGGTGAAACCCAGGCGGCTGCCGCCTCTTGGCACGGCCCCTGTAGCCCGAGAACGCCCAGCCACACAGGGCAACCCTCTAGTGGTACAGGCGGGTGGGGCAACATGGCACCCCGGAACCTCCAGGAAGGGGCCTCTGTGACCGGAACACACCGGGGGAAAGCCCGGGGCTCCGGCTGACCAATAGGACAGCCGAATGTCTGCTGGGTGCTCCCGGGCTGGGCGGCACTGCCAGAGAGCACAGCCAACAGCCCCAAACACGCCAAGGTGGGCTTGCACACACGCCGGTGGGTTAACAAGCACCCAGAGGGGCAGGTGTGAGGGTGCCAGGGACCCCACCAGCCCATCCCCAACCCCCAGTGTCCCGCCAAGGGCGCCCAGGAGAGAAGCCCCACCTGGCGGGGTGAGGCGCACAGGGAGAGCTGCGACCCTGGGAGGAACCAGAAACTTCCAAGGGACCCCCGTGCAGTCAGGCCGGCACTGGACAGGCACGTACACACAGGACAGGCAGTGGCGCTGACTCCAGGAACCTTTGTACCCGTCCAGCCACCCCAGCGGGGCTGGCAAAGAACATTCCAGACGGGTGCCCAGGCTTCGACTTGAAATGCCTTCCCCAAGCCCCACACTCCCCATTCCCACGCGCCGTGAGCTCCAGCGGAGAACCACGGCCCAGGGCCACCTCACAGTGTGGCCGGGCAGGGCGTCGCGGGCTGCACACGGCCTGGAGGGCGGCTGTGCGGGCTGTCTGGGAGAGGGAGTCCCCGGGGCCACGTGCCTGGTGCCGGCGCTGTAACCATGCACTCCAGACCAGAGGCCTTTTTTTCTTTTAAAGATTTATTTTCTGAAAGGCAGGACAGAGAGAGGCAGAAATATTCCCCTCAATGGTCCACTCCCCAAATGGCCACGGAGGTCAGGGCCGAGCCAGGAGCTCCTCCCAGGTCTCCCACGCGGGTGCAGGGCCCCAGCACCCGGCCGTCTTCCACTGCTTCCCCAGGTGCAGGGAGCCAGGCTGGAGCAGCCGGGACTGGGCCCAGCGCTCTGCCAGGGACCTGGGGTCCGGCCTCACGGGTGGCGACCCGGGGGGCTTTCTTCAGTAAATGGTGTTTCTGGTTTCTTGATTACACTGTAAACCTACAAATTTTTTTCTTCCCAAAACTAAGATTCCTGAGCCATCAGCCCAAGACTGGAGTCGTGTTTTTCCACTTGATTCTCCTGAAAGAGCTGACTTTAATGCCAGGACCCACGGCTGAGGGGCAGGGCACACTGGCAGCTGCCCGCCCCGTGTGCCTGGGAGGGGACCGAGGGTCCGGGCCCCCCACGCCCAGGTGTCACGGGGCCCCTCCCTGGGGAAAGCAGCTACAGATGGAAGCGGAAAAATAACCCCCGCCCCTTCAGCGAGGGGGGCCCCGCTCCAGGGCCGTGGCCGGGGTGCCGGGGAGCCAGGGGGCCGTGGGGCGGGGCCGCCGTCACTTCCCCGTGAGTTCCAGCACCTTCTTCACCATGAGGCCGATGCCGTCGTGGATGTGGTGCAGCGCGGCCTCACCCATGAAGGCTGGGGTGGTGACCACCTTGTTCTTCCCGTCCACGTGGGCTTCGTGTGCAGAGTCAGGGAAAACACCGCAGGAGCCCAGCTCCCACACGGGCGCAGGCCCCTCGGCCCACCCACTCCCCTCCTGCCCCACCCGAGCCAGACCGAGCCCAGCTCCCACACGGGCGCAGGTCCCTCGGCCCCCACCCACTCCCCTCCTGCCCCACCCGAGCCAGACCGAGCCCAGCTCCCAAACGGGTGCAGGTCCCTCGGCCCCACCCACTCCCCTCCTGCCCCGCCCAAGCCAGACCGAGCCCAGCTCCCACACGGGCACAGGCCCCTCGCCCCCCACCCATTCCCCTCCTGCCCCACCCGAGCCAGACCGAGCCCAGCTCCCACACGGGCGCAGGCACAGGCCCCTCGGCCCCACCCACTCCCCTCCTGCCCCACCCGAGCCAGACCGAGCCCAGCTCCCAAACGGGTGCAGGTCCCTCGCCCCCCTCCCACTCCCCTCCTGCCCCGCCCGAGCCAGACCGAGCCCAGCTCCCACACGGGCGCAGGCCCCTCGCCCCCCACCCACTCCCCTCCTGCCCCGCCCGAGCCAGACCGAGCCCAGCTCCCACACGGGCGCAGGCCCCTCGCCCCCCACCCACTCCCCTCCTGCCCCGCCCGAGCCAGACCGAGCCCAGCTCCCACACGGGCACAGGCCCCTCGGCCCCCACCCACTCCCCTCCTGCCCCGCCCGAGCCAGACCGAGCAGCAGCTCCCACATAGTGGGGGGCGGGGAGGGAAGCAACACTGACCACGCCCCCAGCCCAGCCCCTAGCCCGGGGGCCCCCGCCTGGCACTGTTCACACAGCCCGCTGGATGTACTCCATGCATGGCCATGAAGCTCAGAGCAGGCCTGGGTGTGCCGTGGGGACACTGTGCTGACCTCCCACGCAAGACCACAGTTACAGCTCCTGATGGAACAGGCCACGTGACCAGAACCAGAGGTGCCCCCTGCACGCCACGCGCTGAACCTGCACCCCTAGAAGTATTCCCTGCATGCCACACACTGACCCCGTGCGGACCCCACACTCCCAGAGGTGCTCCTGCACGCCATACACAGACCCCAGGTAGACCCCGTGCCCCGAGATGACCCCTGCACACCATACACAGGCCCCATGTAGACCCCGTGCCCTGAGAGGTGACCCCTGCACGCCATACACAGGCCCCATGTAGACCCCGTGCCCCGAGAGGTGCCCTCTGCACACCACGTGCGGACCCCGCACCCCCAGAGGTGCCCCTGCATGCCACACACTGACCCGGTGCCAGGCCACAGCAAGGATATGGTCACGTCCTTCACACAGTGCTTGGCGCCCAGGGCCTTCACGGCCTCCGCCGTCCCCGCGTGCGGCCACTTCCCGCCTTCCTCCTGCTCATGGCCCACGGTGACCTCGACACCTCTGAGCACCTTGGCCGCGAGCACGGGCGCGAGGCAGCACAAGCTGGAGGGGGCAGACGGCGGAGACAAGTCAGGCCCCCCGGGGAGGGGGCAGATGGCGGAGACAAGTCAGGCCCCCCGGGGAGGGGCCACATGAGGCCTGTGGCGAAGGCTGCTCCGCTTGCCCTACACACGCAGGGCACTCACGGCACCTGGGCCCCAGGGCCCCGCCCTGGCTCCGGGGTGCTCTGTCCCCACACAACAGCAGGTCACACAGCTGTGCCTCCTGGGCACATCACATGCTCTTCTCCAGAGGGAAGCCCAGATGGGCAGCCTCGCCCCATCTCTGACCTCTGACCCGTGCCGGCACCCTCTGAAGCAGGCCCACGACTCTGTCGGGTCCCCCTCATGGAGCGCTGCTCAGACGGCGTGCCCGAGGCCACCCAGAGCCTTGCCCTTGGGACCTGCTCTGTTGGTCCCCCGGAGCCCACCCTGTTCAGCCAACACTGCTGGCCCTGTGCCCCGGGAAGCAGTGCCCCAGAAGCAGCGCTGCCCAGCGCCTTAGAGCTACAAGGGCGCCAGCACAGAGGGCAGGGGCCACCCCAGCACAGCAGCCCCCGGATTTCACGCTGTCCCCACTGCACCTGCCACACTCTGTCACAGTCCCGCTCTCACCCGTCTGGTCCCACTGGGCCCAGCCCCCGACAGATGCCGTTAAGAACGTACTTAGGCTGGCGCCGTGGCTCACTAGGCTAATCCTCTGCCTGCGTCACGGGCACCCCGGGTTCTAGTCCCGGTTGGGGCGCCAGATTCTGTCCTGGTTGCCCCTCTTCCTGTCCAGCTCTCTGCTGTGGCCCGGGAGTACAGTGGAGGATGGCCCAGGTGCTTGGGCCCTGCACCCCATGGGAGACCAGGAGAAGCACCTGGCTCCTGGCTTCGGATTGGAGCAGTGCGCCAGCTGCAGTGCGCCGGCCATAGGAGCCATTTGGGGGGTGAACCAACGGAAAAAGGAGACCTTTCTCTCTGTCTCTCTCTCTCTCACTGTCTAACTCTGCCTGTCAAAAGATAAATAAATTAAAAAAAAAAAAAAAAAAAAAAAAAAAAAGAACGCACTTGTCAAACACCCCACGACCGAAACAACTCCTGCCTACTGACCCAAGGCCAACTCTCCCGTGGCCCCCGAGCAGGCAGGAAGCCAGCGGGGCCACACTGTGGGAGGCAAATGCCGCCTGGTTCTGCTAAGCCCACCTGACCTCCTGCAGGACCGTCCCGCATGGCACGGTGGGGCTGCGGGCACGCGCGCGCCCAGTGTCGGCTCTGGAAGGAGGAGGCTGATTCTGTGTTCCCGGTGGAAGCGGCGGCACCGGCATCTCTGGTCCACCGCGCATGGGAGCCAGCAGTCAGGCCAGTCGCCAAGTGCTCCTCGGCTGTGGCGTCTGCTCACCGGGATGAGCAAGTGGCCGCCTCGGCCTTTTGTCCTCCTCCCCGGGGCAGCGTGCCCCGAGCCAGAGCCTCTCCCAGGGACAGGCCACGTGGGCACCGTGGCTACCAAGCAGACGAGTGCAGGAGGACACGGGCCACTGTCGATGGAGACGGCGCACATGTGTCCCGACAGTGGCCGGCAGCTCCTTAAGTGAACGGCCACACTGTCTGTGACACGGAGGCCACTGCCTCCATGCCCCACGCGGACGGGGCAGCCGAGGGAGGCAAGGACACGCTGGGGATTCCGTGGGAGTCGTTTTCAGAACCGACGCAGCACGTGACCACGGAAACACGGGGCTGGAAGGCACCCAGGAAAGAGTCAGGGGAAAGCCCCAGGTGGTCACGACTCCCGCGCACGGGCCCCGCCCACCACGTACCCGATGGGCTTGCCGGCGCCGTGGAACTCCTTCAGGACACGCTCCACGTCGCGATGGACCTTGCAGTCCTTCCCGTCCACGGCAAACGTGCTCCTGTCACGAGAGAAGAGGCTCTGGCGAGGCAGGCTCGGCAGCCCGGGACCCCCACAGCCCCGCCAGGCGAGGTGTGAGCTCGCTGCCGCTCCACGGAGGAGTGCTGGTCCTGCTGGAACGGAGAGCCCAGCGGTGGCCATCCTCCTGCCGGCCTGGGAGAGGGAGCCGGCGGGAGGCAGGGCAGGGCTCCTGTGGAGGACGCGTCTACACCCGGGCTCGGGGCAGCACGTGGGGAAGGGTGCAGTCAGCTCCACGGAGACCATGGGACTGCCGAGTGCAGGGGCCAGTGGAGCAACCAGAGCAGGCTTCGGGAAGCCCAGGGCTCGCCCTGCAGCCCACACGTGGTGGGCAGGCTTCGGGAAGCCCAGGGCGGCGGGTGAGCGGCACTGGTGGCCACAGGACCATCAGGACGGCAAAGCAACACGGGAAGCTGCAAGCAGGCACCGAGCCGGCTCAGGACCGGTCGTGGGGAACTGAGGTGGGAGTATGGTCCGAGGCAAGGCCCCACCGAGGCTGCAGAGCCACAGGGACCCCAGAGGCAGCCTCACAGTGCTCACCCTCTGCCACGGCTACAAAACGAGGGTTTAGCCGCACCCCAGCACCTGAACCCCACCCGTTTTCCTGAGCTGCGACATCGCCAGGACAAAGGCCCGACGGCTCCGTTCACACTCAGCACCGTGCCCACCCGTGAGGGCTACTGGACACTCAGCACCGTGCCCACCCGTGAGGGCTGGCACTGGACACTCAGCACCGTGCCCACCCATGAGGGCTACTGGACACTCAGCACCACGCCCACCCGTGAGGGCTACTGGACACTCAGCACCACGCCCACCCGTGAGGGCTACTGGACACTCAGCACCACGCCCACCCGTGAGGGCTACTCGACACTCAGCACCGTGCCCACCCCAAATGCAAGGGAAGGAGGGAGGCAGGGTCCAGAGGAACGTGAACAGGGTCCAACCCGACACTGACCGCGTGGCCCTGGCCAGGCCCCTCGGGGTCACCAGCCAGCTGCTACAGCAACAACCCAAGCTCCCCACCGCGCCTCCCCCTGCAGGCGTCTCCAGAGAACCGGGATCCGCCAAGAACACGGCTCTGACGGCTGGGAAGTGGGGCTCCAGCACGGGGACCGGGATGGGCCCAGGCACCAGCTGCACTCAGAGAAGGGAGAGCAGAGGAAAACCCACTCGCTGAGCGCTCCCAGACCCAGCCCTCAGGGGGGCTCCCACGCCCTAACCACCCCCGTCCCAGCTACGGCCCGCGCAGGAGACAGCGGGAGGCCGGAGGCTCGGACACGCACAGGTTCTTGGCAGCACCAAAGCCTCCCGGGAAGATGGCAGCGTCGTGGTTGGCTGCACTGAGCTGGGCCAGGTCGGTGATCTTGCCTCGGGCAATCCTGGCTGACTCCTTCAGGACGTTTCTGGAAGATGCAGAGCCGGAGAGCAGGGTAAGCACGCGGGCGGCCCACACGGGACAGCCCGCACACCACGGCCAGGACCAGGCACTCACACACGCAACCTAATGCCGTCAGCTCAGCACTTACAGTCACCCCAGAAATAAGAGCCCTAGATCTATGCTGGAGTCCTGAGGAGCTACACCAAATCCCTCAGAACCCACAAGTTCAAGGGCCATCGGGGGCAGCATCGTGGCACAGCCGGTAAAGTCACCACCTACAATGCAGGGATTTCACATGGGCACCAGTTAGAGTCCCGGCTGCGCCACTTCTGATCCAGCTCCCTGCTGTGGCCTGGGGAAGCAGTGGAGGATGGGCCCCTGCACCCATGTGGGAGACCCAGAGAAAGAAGCTCCTGGCTTCTTCTTTTTTCTTTTTTTTTTTTTTTTTTTTTGACAGGCAGAGTGGACAGTGAGAGAGAGAGACAGAGAGAAAGGTCTTCCTTTGCCGTTGGTTCACCCTCCAATGGCCGCCGCGCTGTGCTAATCCGAAGCCAGGAGCCAGGTGCTTCTCCTGGTCTCCCATGCGGGTGCAGGACCCAAGCACTTGGGCCATCCTCCACTGCACTCCCGGGCCACAGCAGAGAGCTGGCCTGGAAGAGGGGCAACCGGGACAGAATCCGGCGCCCTGACCGGGACTAGAACCTGGTGTGCCGGCGCCGCAGGCGGAGGATTAGCCTAGTGAGCCACAGCGCCGGCCGGCTCCTAGCTTCTGCCAGGCCCCCAGCCCCAACCGCTGTGCCCATCTGGAGAGTTTAATCAGCAGGTGGATGGTATCTTTCTCTCCCTATAATTCTTTCAAATAAAAAATAGATCTTTAAACAAAAAAATGGCCACTTGGGACCCCAAAGCAGGCACATGGCAGGTCAGAACTCGGGGAAAGGGAGGCCAGCCGAGGGTCAGCCCCGCACGACGATCCTCGTGGGACGGGGCACAGGCACGGCCTTGAGAGCCAGGGGCTTGGCAGAGAAGGAAATGGTGGGGACCAGAGCCCCAGGCCGCAGCTGCGGTCCCCCACCCTGCCTCTTGCTCTCGGAAGCCTGGCCACTGTACACGCGGTCGTCCTGCAGTGCAGGCGCACAGGGAAGACAGGCAGGGCGGGGGCTGGCCTGTGCCTACCGTGCCAGGGCCACACCTGGCACAGGACAGACCCTGCTGGCGCTGCCGAAAGGTATCTGGGGCCGAGAACCGGCAAGCAGAGCCCCCAGCAGCCTCGCTCAGTGCACTGGGCCCCGTGTCTGGGGCAGCACTGGGAGGTGAGGGGCGTCCAGAGCTGAGGCAGCAACGTTCCCAGGACAGACACTCGGCCTGGGGGAGTCACGCTCGCGGGGAGTTCCCAGTCGGAGGAGCAGGGTCAGCTGGGAAGGGGGGAGGGGAGCAGGGGGAGCAGCAGAGCGGGGGCAGGGGGAGCCAGGCAGCCCGCTCTCGGGGGTGGGGAGCCTCGCACCTGGTCTCGCCCCCAGCGGGCTGCCCCTTGGTGTGGTCAATGACGTGCATCTGAGGGACGTCCGGAGCAAAGATCTGGACCTCGGCCCCCCCGCGGCTCAGGTGCACCAGGATCCTGCGCCAGAGCAAAGCGGAGATGTCAGGCCCAGCACGCCCGTGCACGCGTGGGGCACTGTCAATACACCCGTGCGCGCGTGGGGCACCGTCAGTACACCCGTGCACGCGTGGGGCACCGTCAGTACTCCCGTGCACGCGTGGGGCACTGTCAATACACCCGTGCGCGCGTGGGGCACCGTCAGTACACCCGTGCACGCGTGGGGCACCGTCAGTACTCCCGTGCATGCGTGGGGCACCGTCAGTACTCCCGTGCACACGTGGGGTACCGTCAGTACTCCCGTGCACACGTGGGGCACCGTCAGTACTCCCGTGCACACGTGGGGTACCGTCAGTACATCCGTGCACAGGTGGGGCACCGTCAGTACTCCCGTGCACGCGTGGGGCACAGTCAGCACTCCCGTGCACGCGTGGGGCACCGTCAGTCAGGACTTCAGCCGAGCGCCAGGTGCAGGTGTGGGTCCTAACCGCCAGCTGTCACCCGGCGGGGACAGAGCCACACGGGCTGCAGACGGTGTCTGGTCCCAGCAGCTCCTTCACAAACCAGGGTGGGGCCCAGCCGTGCTGGGGCTGCGCAGCCCATAGGTCAGCCACCCACAGGCACCCGACACCGCCCTTGAGGGTCTGCCCAGGGCCTCACGCCGTTCCCTGGCCACCGCTTGTCTCGTCGGCTCTTTCTCCTCAACCCAGCTCAGCGAACTCTGCCACCTGGGAGCTCGGTCACTAGGTGGCGGCACCAGCAGGCAGGCGGCCGCGGCCACACAGGGCCAAGCCCGGGCTCTTCCGGGCAGCCTGAGACACAGCGCCGGACACCCTCCAGGTCCGCTCACTGGAACCTTCTAGCAAACGGGAAAACTGGAGAACAAAGCAGTCCACTGTGTGACACGGCTGCTAACGTGCGTCCGGCTGACCCGGAGGGGCCGCTGGCTCAGGCAGCCGTGGGAGACCTGGACTGTTTCCCGGCTGCCTCCCCGACAGATAATTTTTAAAAACAGCGTGTCCAAAAACACACGGGACCAGCGTCGTGCTGTACTGGGCAGTGCCGCCTGCAACACCAGCGTCAGACGGGCGCTGCTTCCAGTCCCGGCTGCGCCACTCCCGGCCCAGCTCTCTGCCACGGCCTGGGAAAGCAGAAGATGCCCAAGTCCTTGGCCCTGCCCCGCGGGGGAGACCCGGAAGAACCCCTGGCTCCTGGCTTCCGCCTGGCCCAGCCCCGGCCGCTGTGGCCACTGGGGAGTGAACCATTGGATGGAAGACCTCTCTCTCTCTCTCTCTGTGTAACCCCGCCTCTCAAATAAACAAGTGAATCTTTAAAAAAAAAGTTCTGAAAAACAGCACGTGACTTCATGCCAGAGGGCCTCGCTGGGTCAAAAAAAAAAAGAGAGAAAAAAAAGCAAAGCGGCCGTGGAGCGCCGGGGGCGGGAGCACTCGCAGGAGGGGTGGGCGCAGCCGGGAGGGGCGGGGGGCGCAGGCCCGGCCGGACGCGGGCGGCCTCCCCAGGGCAGAGCGGCGTGGACGACGCGAGTCCGGGTGCCTGGACTTACGCGGACGCCTCGTGGATCTCCGTCCCGTCGTAGACCCCGCAGCCGGACAGCACCTGCGGGGGAGCGGGCGCTGGGGAGGGCGACCGGGCGGTGGGCGCTGGGGGAGGGGGAGGGGCCGACCCGGGGGAGCGGGCGCTGGGGAGGCCGACCGGGCGGCGGGCGCTGGGGGAGGGGGAGGGGCCGACCCGGGCGGCGGGCGCTGGGGGAGGGGGAGGGCCGACCCGGGCGGCGGGCGCTGGGGGAGGGGGAGGGCCGACCCGGGCGGCGGGCGCTGACTGAAGGGGGAGGGACCGACCCCGGGCGGCGGGCGCTGACTGAAGGGGGCCGACCCCGGGCGGCGGGCGCTGATTGAAAGGGGGCGACCCCGGGCGGCGGGCGCTGACTGAAGGGGGAGGGACCGACCCCGGGCGGCGGGCGCTGACTGAAGGGGGAGGGACCGACCCCGGGCGGCGGGCGCTGATTGAAAGGGGGCGACCCCGGGCGGCGGGCGCTGACTGAAGGGGGAGGGACCGACCCCGGGCGGCGGGCGCTGACTGAAGGGGGCCGACCCCGGGCGGCGGGCGCTGATTGAAAGGGGGCGACCCCGGGCGGCGGGCGCTGACTGAAGGGCGAGGGACCGACCCCGGGCGGCGGGCGCTGACTGAAGGGGGAGGGACCGACCCCGGGCGGCGGGCGCTGACTGAAGGGCGGCGGGCGCTGACTGAAGGGCGGCGACCCCGGCCCCGGCCGCCCGCACTTACCACCGCGACCTTAGCCCCGCCGCGCGGCGCGGAGCCGTGAAGGGCCGCTCGCGGGGCGCACAGAAGCCGCAGGCGGTCCGAAGGGGATACGAATGCGGAGGCTGCCAACCTCGACGCAGCCAGGCCCCGAACAGCCGCCATGGCGGGCGGGACACCACGACCTAAGGTCACCCGCCACCGAGGCAGGCCGCCAATCTGCCGGCCACAGCGCGCCGGAGGGCGGGCCCGCGCCTGCGCAGAGCCGCCGTGGTGCCCCGCCCCGCCCCGCCCGCCCTATCCCGTGAGCGCGCTCGCGCCTGCGCACAGAAGCCAAGTGGTGCCTGGGGCAGCGCCTGCGGCCGACGCAGTGGTCTCCACAGCCCGCCTGTCCCCCTCGCTGTCTGCGGGACCCCGCGCCGTAGTTGCCCGAACCCGATTCCATCTCGAAGCTCGGCTGTCCCTTGCCGGAGCCTGGGGTGCGGCCCAGCGAGGAAACGGAGACCCCCGCCCCGCGTTGAGGCCACAGTGGTGGCGGACAGTAGTCCTGTGGCCATCGCCACGACCTCGCAGTGACCGGGGACCGCGAGGCTCGGAGACCCCGCCCCTAGGCCGAGAACCCTCGGAGGCAGCGCCACCCGCAGGGTCCGACACCCCGGGGGTCCTGGCTGCCCCGCACCATGCCCGCGGAGGGACCAGTGCCAACTGCCCTGGGCAGGCAGGCTCACGCAGAAGCAACCCGCAGGGCACCGCGGCTCTTCCTCCCTGAGCGCCAGGGGCTCCCCCTGCCCACAGCATCACCCCACCCTGGCCCACGGGAGGGCGCACCGCCCACCCCAACCCTCGGCCCTGCGGGAGCGCCCGCAGAAGCCGGCCTGGTGGGGAGGGTGCCGCCCTGGCCGGAAGTGCACTCGCTCTGCTCCCGTACCCTTTGAAGAACCCTAGAACCCAGAGTTCATGGACACTTTGTTAAAAACATAAATAACTCCACAGATAAAAAAAACCCGAGTCCAGAGAGGCGAGCAGCGGCCCCTCCCAGGGTGCCCAGCGTGGCCCTCTATAGCCCCAGCCCAGCCCCCAGCAGGTGCAGCTCCTCCTCCTCCTCCTCCCCCTGCCCCTCCCCCTCCCCCTCGGAAGCTGCTTCTTCCAGGCTGTGTTTCAGGCCCCGCTGCTTGGAGACCGCCAGCGTGTACTGAATGTTGTAGCGGTTCCAGTCACAGCTGACGGCACAGGTCCGGTCAGCAGGGCACACGGGGTCCGGTCACAACAGCACAGGTCCGGTCAGCACGGCACAGGCGACGGCACACGGGGCAGTCGGCAGAGGTGGCAGCACACGGGGTCAGTCGGCGGCATCCGGGGTCAGTCGGCGGCACACGGGGCAGTCAGCAGAGGCACCGGGCGAGGTGAGAACAGGCAACAGCACAGGACATCAGGTCAGCACAGGTGATACACCGTCTTCCACCCCATCGCGGACCCCAGCCCTCCCTGGCGCCGACCAGCACGGACGACGGGACAAGACGTCCCCACCAGCTTCCTCCTCCCCCCTCCTGTGAGGCTGGGTTCCTACCCCTGTCCCTGCCCCTGCCGTGAAGGCCCCAGCCCAGGTCAGGCCACGTGGCTGTGGGTGCCCTCGGTCAGCGCCCAGGAGAGCCACAGCTCCAGCCACCAACACACGGCCAGACAAGGCTCCCCAAGGGGCGACCCGCGGGACGGTGCCCTCTCCTCCAGACACCTCTCCTCCTGGACGCCTCAGGCAAGGCCAGGTGCAGCACGGGGAGGCACCCAGCTTCCTGCACTGGGGAGGTAGGCCCAGGGGCCCTGAAGGCGTGACACGTGGGACGCCTGGTGGGCACTCGGCCCGGCTCTGCTGGCCTGTAGGGCCCTGGGAGTGCTAGGACTGAAGTGCAGAACCGCCACGAAGCACGAGGCTGGGAGCACCTGCGCTGGCCCGGCTCTGTCTCCATCCCCACTTGCAGACGCGCAAACAGCTCAGCGCCCCACACTGCTCCGACCCGAGAGCTGAGGCCACCTCCAGCTCCGGCAGCTGCCGCTGGCCCGCGTACTCAGCCCCAGCCTCGGATAAGGTCAAGTCCCTCAGATCCCACCCGTGAGGTGTCTGTGCCCCCCATCACGCACAGGTGATGCGATGTGCCCCTCCCCCACCCCGTCAGGCACAGGTGACACCTGGGGCGTCTGTGCCCCTCCCCCCACCCCGTCAGGCACAGGTGACACCTGGGGCGTCTCTGCCCCTCCCCCCCCCACGTCAGGCACAGGTGACACCTGGGGCATCTGTGCCCCTCCCCCCACCCCATCAGGCACAGGTGACACCTGGGGCGTCTGCGCCCCTCCCCCCACCCCGACAGGCACAGGTGACACCTGGGGTGTCTGCGCCCCTCCCCCCACCCCGTCAGGCACAGGTGACACCTGGGGCGTCTGTGCCCCTCCCCCCACCCCGTCAGGCACAGGTGACACCTGGGGCGTCTCTGCCCCTCCCCCCCCCACGTCAGGCACAGGTGACACCTGGGGCGTCTGTGCCCCTCCCCCCACCCCGTCAGGCACAGGTGACACCTGGGCGTCTATGCCCCAGCATGCACAGCTGACGGCTGTGGGGGGAGTCTCTGCCCCCCCCCCCCCGTCAGGCACGGGGAGAACGAGCACTCCGACGCCCTCGGGGGACGCAGGGCCGAGCCCCCGACTCACAGCTTGGAGAGGCTGTCCAGGTGCCGCTGGATGCTCCTCTGCAGGGACTGCACGGCGGGCAGCAGCGCCCCGGCCCTGGGGAGGCGGTCAGCGGTCAGCGGTCAGCGGGCCTCGCCGGGCGGGGCGGGGCCGGGCGGGGCGTGCTACCTGGACTTCAGCTTGTGCCCGTGCAGCAGGAGCAGCCTCTGCGCCCACGTGAGGTAGAACTCGAGGTGGCGGGACGCTTCGAAGGACGCCGCCAGGAACTGCAGCACCTTCTCCACGTAGAGCTCGGGCAGGGAGGCGCCCACGACCTCAACTGCAACAGGAGAGGCCGTGCTCACCCCGGCCCGGCCCGGCCGTGCCCGCCCCGCCCGCCCGCCCACGGGCTCACTCTCGTCCCAGGGCACCGCCTCCAGGGTCCCGCCCCGCCTGCCCCGCCGCGGGCTCACTCTCGTCCCAGGGCACGGCCTCCAGCGCCTCCTGCACCAGCTTCTGCTCGTTGAGCCGGAAGGCCATGAGGATGGCCCGGGTGAACTCCCGCCGGCGCAGGGCCTCGCGGATCCGGCCGGGGGTGACGCTCGTGTCCAGCTCAAAGGGGTCGAAGAGCATCTGAGAGTCCAGGGAGTAGAGGAGGAGCCCCTCGGTGGTGGTGGCCGCCCAGCAGCGCCCTGCGGGGTCAGGCACTGAATCCTAGCGGTCTGAGTCCCCGTGGCCCACAATGCCGCAGTACAAGAGGGGTCAGGGGCACGGAGCCCGCCGGCGGACTCTCCCAGAGCCGCGCCGCACACGGCACTTCTGTGAAGGGAGGGCATCGTGGCGTCGAAAGCCCCACGGCCTGTTGCAGCCACAGACGACAGAGGCCGGTGACCGTGGCCGCACCCAGGCCACCCTGAGTGGCAGGAGCAGGCGGCCAGCTGGGTCTGCAGGCACGGGCTCACCCAGCGCCGTGGCCCGTCTCCTGCTGCAGCGGGAGAGCCTCTGCTCAGGGCGCCCCTCCCCGCGGTGCGGTGCGGTGCCGGGGGCTCGGGAAGCTGCCCACCAGGGCTCACAGCACCACACGTGGCCCGCAGCCCACTCCGTGACCACCCTCGTCCCTGGCAGGAGAGGCCCCAGACCCCGAGCCAGGGGCTCACCAGTAGGAGAGAAGCGCAGCGAAGTCACCCTGATCTCAGGCTTGAAGTGGCGAGAGCTCATGTCCCCTGCGGAGAGCGAGCGGAGGACCAGGCTGCCCGGGCCGCCCAGCACCCCCAGCCCAGCCTGCTGGCCTGCCCTGCTCGTCCACACCGAGCGGCTGGGCCCTGCGCAGGGCCTCCCCCATCCCGAGGGCACACAGCCAACAGACTACCCGCCGGCTGCAGGACAAGGCCCCCGCCCGGCACGGTGCCCAACGCCAGCAGAGAGAGAGGCGCCCCCAAGTGTGGCTGGTGGTGTCCCCGCACGCCCGACACCCGGCTTCCCACACTTCCGTGGAGACACGCGCGCCCTCGGAGCCTCTCGGGGGCGTCTCAGCCCTGAGCCCCGAGCCCACACCGCAGACTCCCCCACACAGGCTGGCCGCGGGAGCAGAGCGAGGGGCAGCAGCACCCCAGCCCCCAGCACGGCCCCCGGGCAAGGCGGGCGGGGCCTCTGCTCACCTTTCTTCACGCCAGGCAGCGGCACGGCCACGCCGTCCTCCTCACCGGTGTCCTGATCGATCAGTGCCAGGTTGCCAAACTCTGTCATTTTCCTCCGGTTCAGAAATTCCTGAGAGCAGAAGTCATGACCGCCCCGTCATGTCCCTGACCCTGGATGAGCCCAGCCCTGTCTGTCCAGACACAGGCTTGCTCGTCCCCTCCAGCCTGCCCCGGCCACGCAGCACCAGCGAGCTGGCACGTCACCAAGGATGCTGGCCCCAGAAGCCCAAGAACGCCTCGCCTGCGGGGGCGGAGCCTGTGAACCCTGGGAGCCCGAGCGGGGGTCTGCAAGAGTGGAGACGGCACCGGCCGGGAGCTCGGCCCACGCGTGTGCAGGATGCTGTGCCAGGGCAGGGCCCACCAGCAGCCCCTGCGGTCACACTGTCCCTGGCAGGCCGTAAGCACGCGCCCTGCACCCCAGCCCAGCCTCGGAGCCGCCTGCTCAGGGCAGGGCCAGCCCAGGCCTCCTGCCACCCTGCAGCCTCGGCTCCCGCGTTTCCGGCAGGCCCCCCCAACCTGGCGCTGGCGGGCCGCCCTGGGTTCACCTCCATGGCGCCCTGCAGCCTCGGCTCATGCATTTCCGGCAGGGCCCCCCAACCCGGCGCTGGCGCGAGCGGGCCACCCCGGGCTCACCTCCATGGCGCCCTGCAGCCTCGGCTCCCGCGTTTCCGGCAGGCCCCCCGACCTGGCGCTGGCGCACGGGCCGCCCCGGGCTCACCTCCATGGCGCCCCGCAGCCTCGGCTCATGGGTTTCCGGCAGGGCCCCCCGACCTGGCGCTGGCGCACGGGCCGCCCCGGGCTCACCTCCATGGCGCCCCGCAGCCTCGGCTCATGGGTTTCCGGCAGGGCCCCCCAACCCGCACTGGCGCACGGGCCGCCCCGGGCTCACC